ATTAATAAGCCAAAAAAAAAAAAAAAATATATATATATATATATATATATATATATTAGTGCTGGGTAACGATTAAATTTTTTAATTGTGATTAATCGCATGATTGTCTGTGATTAATCGCATTGTTATGCACAACATTCAATAATGCATTCAAAAGTAGTGTATTGTGCACTTTTTTCATTTAAAAGTACTGCTATATGAACAAAAGTGCAATATCATTTGGTCTGCAAACACTTTAAACAAATAAGGTGCTTTTTTACAGCAGTATTCCTTTTACACAGTAGCAGTTAAAATATTTATTTTAAATCTCAACTTATAACACTAATGTAATCAAATTAAATATAAAACAAGCTATTTCCTCTGCCAGGGCTTTAACGTTTTTATAGAAAATATTTTATAGTTTGTTATAGAAAAACAAGTTAATGGGGGTGCGGGCGGGTAGACACTCGTGTGTGTGGGATTCGGGAGAATAATTAGGGCAGATCTTCTGATACGTGTGCAACATGATTGTGTGAACATTTCTGAGCGGCAAAAGCGATAGATCTGTGAAGCAATATATTGTGAGAGGGCCATGTGTTACCGCGTCCCAAACGACTCAAAATAATAAACCACAAAGTTAACAAAACTCCACTGTGCTGAGTGAGAGCGCTTCTTTGCTGTCTTCACGTGCTAAACTTCCTATTTCCCACTTATGAAGTCATGATTACGAGCATGTTGCATTATTTTCTGTTAAAAATGGAACAGTGGTTTGTGAATGTTGATGCTTAGCCTAAATAATTTGATCGGGAGCATTCATGTGAGCGCTGCTGCAGTCTTAGGCCCACCCCAAATGCTCTTATTGGTGTGATGACACTCATCCCAAGACAGTACTGATCAACATCCCACCCCTGCTGTGACCCATGGTTTGTCTGTATGTGTATTCAGAGCCAGTGAGCAACGGACATTCATAATAATAAAAAACTGCATTAACGCGCGATAAAATAATTGTCAGCGTTAATCAATTAATGTGTTAACGCGATAATAACGCGCTAACTTGCCCGGCCCTAATATGTACATGTATATATATATATGTATATATATATATTATTGTAATTTTTATTGTTATTACAATAAATAAAATGTTATTATTATTAGTAGTAGTAGTAGTAGTATTTTTATCGTCATGATATTAAGCATTTTTTACATTACAAAGGTAGCAGAATATGACCAATTGAAACCCCAAAAATATATTGACAGTTTATATTGTACATTTATATAATATTGTATTTAACAACATTAATGTCAAGTTATTATAAAGTTTTTTTTTTTTTATAATCAATTGAATAAATAAATAAATAAAAACTAATTTATAATGACTTTAAGTTATTTTAATGAGCATCAACAACACTTAATTAAGCCTCTACAAAATCAGAGGATAATTCAAAAATCAAAGCTATAAGAATAAATTGTATAAACAAATTATCCATTAAGCATTAAATAATGTAAAGAGGATCGTAAATGTTATAAATGAAAGTCACTAAGTTATTTATTTATTATAAATGTATTATGGTATATTACCAGAATAAAAAAAAAATGAATGTAATTAATTCATTCTAGGTATTTATAGATTTGCAAATGGGGTATGTAAAGTTCTAATAAATTAGGAGCTATCTGAGTGCTTATCATGAATGCTTATATCAAATTCACCTACAAATATGTAACCATTATCCCAGTCTTGACCTTAAAGTTGCTTTCCCTGCAGCCGGCGGGTGTAAAAGCGAGCTCATGTCCCAGAGTGCAGTGCTTGCAAGATTCATTGCAAAATGTCACCATGAGCTGATATTCTGTTGCTTTGGCCTGTTGCTTGTTGCAGCATGCACTTGTGTCAGATATAATGGAATGAAGTCATCTGCTGAGAATGACCACATTTCCTCTAATGAACATGAGATGGTGAGCCGCACACCGCAGAGAGAAATAACATAGGACTGGTTTGAGCCCAGAGGATTAGCATGTCGTCACTGTCAAAGGAAAGCCATGGCTCTTTGAAAAGTCTGTGACATTTTGGGAGATGAAAAGTACTTTTGGTGTTGTTTATGTGGCTTTGACTGGAAAAATCACAGGTCTTTGCAATCGTTCAGCTGGTTTTGGGTTTTTCAAATAGCTACGGCACATAAAGAAGAACATATTGGGAAATTAATTACAAAAATGATGCCGTCAAGGCTTTTTTTCTGACAGTGGCGATGCTTTCCCACATTATTAGATATGCCATTCTTAGATGGGACAAATGGCATATCCAAAGTAACAGATCTAAGCTAAAATACACCCACCTTCAAACCCAGCTTGAAATTAAATTTCATGGCTGTTTGGACCAATCAGAAACTCTGCTTTGCTTCTGTTGGACCAATCAGAAACAGCTCACCAAGTACTGTTTTTTTTTTCCCAACAGGCTAATTCTCATAATTTATCAGGTAAGACCAAATTAATCTTCTACCTTTGGTTATGACCTTGCTCACTTTCGAACGCGGGGGGAAAGGACGAGGTGGAAATACTAATCTACCAGTCTTTTGTGGCCATTTATCAAAACTTGATGACGATCCCACAGTGTCATTCAAAAGCGCTAGAGAATGAAATCCATCTCAATCCTGTACTATTGCTAGGAAAATGGTACGTTTTATTGTACCATGCATATTTAGACATCAACAGTTAAGTACACTGTAAAAAATTACCGTGAATTTAACGGTAAAAGACTGTAAAAATGCTACAATAAAAACCTGTTAAATGGTTAACGGTAAATTCCCCTACTATATACGGTGAAAAACTGTATTGGACATTACATGTATTGGACATAAATTTTACGGTAGTATACCATTTTTGGAAGTGAAAAAGACTGTATAAATTACAGTGACTAACCGTAAATTGACATTCCCAGAATTCCCTGCATTACATTTCAAATTTGATGTTTTTTTGTTGAAATAACTGTTTGGATACGCAAAATGTCATGGATGTGCATTGGATGGTATCCAGTGGTAGCAGATAGATTATTGTGTTTAAATGCAGTGTGTATGTATAGTCCAGTATTGAACTGTTGGAGTTAAAGTGCAGTGTGTGGCCT